CCGATGGATTATACATTTTTTTTTCTAATTTTTGGAGTTAAATCTGAGCATTCAGAGGCATGCAGAAGAATGTGATCTGAAATCTCTCTGCAGTACTATTTTTCTCCTTTTGTATAGCAGATTCTGTGGGAATTGAGGATTATTCTGATCCTAACTAGATCTTGGGATCAGGAAGGTGAAGTCTGGGCAGAAAATCTTCAGTTGCCCTAGTCCCTGACAGAAGCCACTTAGAGTTCAAATGTAGATTACTTGCAATTGGCCTGTCCTGGATAGATCTTGGGGTCAGGAGGGTAAAGTCTGGGTGGAAAATCTTCAGTTGTTCAACTCCCTGAATTAGCCACTCCTAGAATGTGTTTTAATCTGGGACCAGCAGATGGTGTAATGGTTAGTTTTTGTCACTGGACTCCCACATAGTTGACTACAGTTCGAATCCTGGACCTGCCAACTTAAAACTCACACTGGACACATGTGCCTGCATGCCCAAAATCCTGAGAGGAGAATGCAGAAGGGATTGCAGTGTGGCCATCCCCCCTTGGGGGATGATTTCTCTCTGGAGAGCTCACACACCCTATAGCAAAAATCTCTCTTAAAAAAATGTGTTTTAGTCTGTTATTGTGTTATCTGAGGCTGGATGATGTAATACAAATAAAGGTTTATTTAGCTCAAAATTCCAAAGACTGGCAAGTTCAAAGGCATCTGGCTAGCTGCTGCTGCATTACAACTTGATCTCTCTGCTGGGGCAATGTCATTGGGCATATGGAGAAAGAGAGAGTGATCTGCAGATAGCCATCTTACTTATTTAATTCCACTCTTGTGTGAGCTAACTCATTCCTGTGAAACCAAAAACTCCCTCCCTCCCATAAGATGGCATTAATCTGTTCATGAGGGCAGTGCCCCCATGATCCAAACACCACCCAGTGGACCCTACTTCCTAAAGGCCCTACCATCTCTCAACACCATTACACTGGGGACCAAACTTCTAGCAAACAACATCTAAACCAAAGCAGAATGTATCTTACATCATTCCATTGTCACTATTTTAGTTCTGCCACTCAGCATGTTAGTCTTAGACTCTCCTTTAAAAAAAAAATGCTACTGAGTGTGTATGCTTTCCAGAGTTAAAGAGAGACAGAGAGGAAGAGAGAGTGAGAAAGCAGCTCCCCTGGGGGGATGGCCACACCATAATCTCTTCTTCTCTATTTTTCTCTTGGGATTTTGGGCAAACATGCACATGAACCCAGCATATCTTTCAAGCTACCAAGTACTGTACTTGAACCACACAGTTGGCCATGTGGGATCCAGCTGCCTTAACCACCACATCATCAGCTGGTTCTAATTTTAGACTCCTATAACTCCCATTATACAAGTCTCCCTGTCTGTGTTTTCTCCCACACTTAGGTCTATTCTAAACACCACTGGCATTTCAATCTTACTAAATGTACAATTTCATCACATCATTTTTCTTCTCAAAAAAGTTTCAGTGCCTTCCTATTGCCAGGAGGATAAATCCCAAAGTGTGTGGCTTATAATGCAAAATCTTTTACACTCCAGCCTACTATATGTTGGTAAGCATTTCAGATACAATGGATTAAACAAAGTCACCTGGTTTCTTTATTGTAAAACTTCCATAAACTTTCAATGAACTAATATGCATTATAAAGTTCCAAGAGGGTGATATATAGAATGCAACATTGACTAAAGAACCCTATTTTTGTAGAAAATCTGTTAACATTTCTCACAAAACTAGGGTTCTAAGGAAGAATATTTTTCTAATGCTTGTGAAGCCCCATCCTACATTTCCAGTCTTATTTCCCATTAGCTCCTCTACATAAATCATCTGCTTAGGCCAAACAACTTTAGTCTCCCTGAGATATATTCACTCCTGAGCAAAGTCCAGGTCTTTATTTATTATGCTCTGTCCATATAGAATGTACTTCTCTTCCTCTGTAAATCTATATTTTAATTTTTTCGAGAGAGTTTTGCTATAGAGCACATGCACTCACCAGAGAGAAAGAGAGACAGAAAGTGAGAAATCACCCCTCAGGGGGATGGCCATGCCTCAATCCCTTCTCCTCCATTCTCCTCTCAAGATTTTGGGCATCCATGCGCATGTGCCCTGCGTGTTTTAAGCCACTGGGTCTGGGACTTGAACTGTGGTTGACTACATGAGAGTCCAGCAACCTAACCATTATGACATTTGCTGGTCCTTGTAAATCAATATTTTATTGAGATTTAATTCATTTATCATGAAACTCACCATTTTAAAGTATTCAATTCATTGGTTTTTAGTATGTTCACAAAACTGTGTAGTCATCACTGATATTTAATTCTGGAACATTTTCATCACCTCGAAAATAAACCCCACACCTCTTAACAGTCATTACTCATTCTTTCCTTCCCCAGTCCCTGGCAACCTCCAATCTACTTTCTCTATGAATTTGCCTTTTCTGAAAATTTCTGTATATCTAGATCCTACTTATCTACCCCGAGATCATGTTTGTTCATTTTTTTTCATTCATTCAGTTAAAATTACAAAACTCATTCTCAGTATCAGACACTGTTGTAGACTGAATATACAAAGGTGAATGCCATTTTGTCTTCAAGGAACTCGCCACCTAGTGGAGTAGTAAGATAATAGGGTGTTAGAAGTGTTATAATTATCATGGTCAAATAAGACTAGGAGTTGAAAGAAAGAAAGAAGAAAGAGAGAAAGAGGAAAAAAAGAAGTACTATTATGAACAAAGTGCCAGAGGAACAAAGATTGTTGAGCAATAAATTGTGGAGAGTCAGGGAAAACCTCACCAAGAAAGTTGCGTTTGACTGGATATTGATTCATTTGTTCATTAACGTCTAATTAATTCATTCAGCAAGCATCCGTTGTGCCCCTACTATGTGTCAGACACAGTGTTGGACTCAGGATACAAAAATGAACAAAAAAATTCCTTGTACTTCAAGGAACTTAACAAGGGATGGATACATAACATTTCTCTTTTTTTTTCTTTTTTTGGAGAGGTTTTTGCCATAGGGCACGTGCGCTCGCCAGACAGACAGAGAGAGACAGAGAGACAGAAAGTGAGAAATCACCCCCCGGGGGGATGGCTACGCCACAGTCCCTTCTCTTCCATTCTCCTCTTAGGATCTTGGGCACACACGCATACATGCCCGGCGTGAGTTTAAGCCACCGGGTCCAGGACGTGAACCACAGTCGACTACGTGGGAGTCCAGTGACATAGCCATTACGCTAACTGCTGGTCCCCCGATACATAACATATCTAAATAATGTGATACAAGTTATATTAGAGTAATGTAAAGTCTTATTTTGGGAACAGAGAGAAAGAAAACCAACTCTGCTTATGAATTTGAAGAAAAAATAGAAGTTTACCAGGTGGACAGAACTGGGGGTGGTATTTCAGACAGAGACTAGATTGCCTCTGACTATGCTATACCAGTATTTATTTTACTGAACTAGAGCACCTAATAACTTTGTACTCTGACTAGCTTTTAACCAGGTGCTTAGAGGAATCATCTTTATAGGTGGATGCCTTATCTCCCTAAAGGCTGTATGTGTCCTTTAGGATAAGAGCCTTGTCTTATCCTTATTAGTGCACTCATTATTATGTATTTCATGCAAAGTAAGTTTTTGTGGATCCAAATGAATTGAAAGAATGACAACACCCTTAACACTCTCAAGAAATTGCTGCCCAAGTCTTCTATTTCATTTCCTCCTTCAAGGGTTTGAGACCTATTGTGTAGACAAAGGGCTTTAACATGAATGCTCCCTTTGTGCTCTATCTGCTAACAAGAACTGAAAAAGTAGCTCTTTAAACTAATCCTTTTTACTATAGCAAAAGATTATGGAGGAGTTAATATAATATTGTGATTATTCAATGTTAAAGACCACTGATAAGGCTAAGAAACCATCTTAGAAATGTGCCCTTTGTTCATAGCTAGGTAGATACTATCTAAGCTAAAGATTAATTTGTATTTCAAACATGAATTGATCCTGGTCAAGAGAATTAAGGGATTCCATAAAACTGCTTCTTGATAACCTTCTCTGAAAAGTAGAAGTAGGTCTTGGGAAGGTAATTGACTCAGAACAGCATCAAGGGGAACTCCAAAAAGAATGTAGGATTTTTTTCCTCCTGCTTCAGGGAGACCAGGAATTTGTCTCTCTCTAATTCCTCCAGTCAAAGAGGGCCTCATTGCCTTTTCAGTTTGTACACCACTTTTTTTTTGAGAGAGAGAGAGAGATATTTTTACTATAGGGTGCATGTGTTCATAGGAGATAGAGAGACAGAAAGGGTCAAATCACTCCCCAGGTGGGATGGCCATGCTGCAATCCCTTCTCCTCCATGCTCCTCTCAGTATTTTGGGTATGCACCCACATGTACCGGGCATTAGTTTCAAGCTGCTGGGTCTGAGACTCAAACTATGGTCGACCATGTGAGAGTCCAGTACCTAAACCAGTATGCCACCTGCTGACCCCTGTATACCACCTCTTTTTTATTTATTTATTTATTTATTTATTTATTTATTTATTTGGAGAGGTTTTTTGTTATAGGGTGCGTGCGCTTGCCAGAAAGACAGAGAGAGACTGAAAGCGAGAAATTACCGCCCCTCCCCCCCAAGGAGGGATGGCCATGCTGCAATCCCTTCTTCTCCATTTTCCTCTTGGGATCTTAGGCAAGCACGCACATGCGCCTGGCGTGAATTTAAGCCACTGGGTCCAGGACTCGAGCCTTGGTCGACTACATGGGAGTCCAGCAGCACAGCCATTACGCCAACTGCTGGTCCATGTATACCACCTCTTAAGAACTTAATACAAAACATACTACAACAAACCTTCAGAGTGTTCCCTTACTCTCTAGGAACAAAGGCTTTCTTCAGCATTAGAAGCACTCGTTTGTTTAATAATGGAATGCAGCACTAATATTCAGATATTGCTATAGGGGATTGTGACAATAATTAACTGGACAACGTCCACTGTTTTTGAATTTCAGGAAGGCTACCCAGAGATGGAGATTTTCTGGCTGATGATCAAGTCCTGGAATACTGGAATATTTATGTATAACAGGAGCAAGTATGTATCAGCTGAAAAATGGTGCAGCTTGGCATTGTGTTTCCTTGACCACCTTGGCTCCCTCAAGAGAGGCTATGAAACTCGGGTGAGGAGGAAGAGGGCTCTAGGGGTGGGTGGCACGACTTACAGGGGACAGAGGTTATAGCAGGGCTCTCCTTGAGGACTCATCCCTACCTTCCTTGACTAAGAAAGGCTCTTAATCATTGTTCTTCTCCATGCTACCAGATAACTTCAAGAGTTAAAGGACTACAAACAGTCATTTCTTAGATTGCAAATGGAATCTAATCGAGAAGAATGCCAAGAGTGAGCCCTGGGAAATACATCACTACCTATATTAATGCATGTGGGGAAGGACTGGCCTCTGCTCAATGCAGAGGCTGCTTAAAAAGGCACTTCCTCCAGAACTACTCTCAGTAGCAGAATTCAGGGCCATTATCCAACTGGGAGAGGTTTGGTGGAGAAAAAGCCTTGTTTCCAAATAAGAACCAAGGATCTTTCTGTTTTAAGTACCTTCTTCCCTAAAATAGCTACCTGTCCCTATTAAATAGACTTAATGCACTGGGATCCCTCTTTCTAAAGAAAGGACTGTACTTTCTCCCCAGAATAGCCTCTGAGGTCTCAAAATGTAAGGGTTAGACTTACACACCATCACCATGAATCTAGCAAGCTTTCCCAAATTTCTTTTTCCTCTCAAGAAATCTATTTGCCATTCTCTTTTCCAGATGAATGTTCTGTATAGTAAACTCATGAAAGCATTAGATGAAAAGAGCTTCTTAATGAAGAGTGAGAATCATTAGAGCAAAACATGTGAGCAGGCAAGTTCACAGCAACTTGAAGACGTATTGTCCTGAGATGCTAAATACTTAAAAAAATTTTCAAACTTTGCTTGGGCATTTGTTTCTGTTTTCTCAGGCCCTATTTCCATGTTGTTGAATGAAATTTTCTAAAATAAAGATATTTTGACTTTGAACTCAGTGATCAGCTCATTTCTGGAGGATAAAAACATTTTCTAAAGTGTTGAGGATTTTCTTGAAATATAGTTCATGTGAGAGATGGCTTATGCCCCATGTGAACAAAAGGAAATGTTCATCCCAGTCCAACACAGGTTGCATTTTATTTACAAAGTGCTCAAATTCCCAATACTGGAAATAACAGAGACCATAGACTCTTCATTGAAAGAACCTTAGGGGTCACTGGGCCCAGCATTTATCCTTCTCATGGGATCTCTCTGTGATATCTTTGAAAATTGGATACCCAGTCTGTTAGAATGTGTCCTATGACAGGGAACACTTGCGAGAGCTCAGTAGACCTTCTGTTGCTCTCTGATTCTTAAAAAGACCTTCCTCATCCTGAACAGAAATTTGTCTCCCTAGAAAATGTCTGCTTTCTCCGTCTCAGACACTGCTTGGAGAACTCAAGGAAGAAGTCAGGCCCCTCCCTAATCTCCAGGCTTTTTCTTCTTCAGGTTAAATAAACATCCTCAGACCTCTCAGTTGTCCCACATGTGATCTGGTCACCACCTCACCTTCAAAGAAACAAATCCCATGTTCCACTTAGGTCTGAACCATGTAGAGTTTAATAGCCTCATTCTGGTTAAGCTGCCATTAGTGTACCATAAGAGCACATAGGCTTCTTTTCCCCAGTTGATTTTTATGAATTTTGAAACTGAAATAGTTTCATACTTAGAAAAGGACCAGCAGATGGCATGATGGTTACATTACATAGTCGATCACAGCTCAAGTCCTGGACCCAGCGGCTTAAAACCCACACCAGGTACATATGCGTACATGCCCAAAATCCTGAGAGGAGAATGGAAGAGAAGGGATTGTGGTATGACTATATCCCTAGGGGGTGATTTCTCACTTTCTGTTTTTCTGGTGAGCACACACACGCTAGTAAAAAATCTCACCTTGCCAAAAAAAGAGAAAGAAAATGTTTAAAGCAAGTACAAAGAAATGCTGCACCCTTCACCCAGCTTCCCTATTTCTTAACATCTTACCACTTTGCCTTCTATTTACTCTCTCCTTGTTTCTTTCTGAACCAGTTGACATTAATTTGCAGATATTTTGCCCTAGTATCCCTTAATACCTTAGTGTGTATTTCATAAGAACAAGGATATCCTCCTACATAACCACAGTACAACCATCAAAATTAGGAAATTGAGACTGATACAATTCTATCACCTAATCCACAGGTCCATTCAAATTTCACTCATTGTCCTAATAAAGTCTTTCATGAGTTCAGGGTCATAAATTGCATTGAGTTTTCACATCTCTTCGATCTCTTATAAAATTAAACATTTCCTCAGTCTTTCCTTATCTTTCATTATCTTGACATTTTCGAAGATTACAGACTAATTACATTGTAGAATGAACTTCAGTTTAGGTGGGTCTTATGTTTCCTCATGATTAGGTTTGGTTTACACACAGGACAGTGCATCAGATCAGCAGGCACACTGCCAATTTGCTTTATTATCTGTTAAAGATATGATGGCATTTGCCAGATTTCTCCAGTGTAAAGTTAACTGATAAATATTTTGTACATACTTAGTAATTAATATATGAGGTTCTTTGTGGAAGATAATTTGATATTTTCTTGTTCCTCATTAAATTTTTATCCATTACTTTTAGTATCCATTATGATCCTTGCTTAAATTCATTTTTACTGTGAGGGCCGCAAAATGCTGATTTTTCTCTTTTCTTCATTCTCTCTTTATTAATTGGCATTGATAAGGTAGAGCTTTTTTTTAATCTCCACTTATTTATTTACTCATGTTTTAAAAATACATTTGGCCCTGGGGCCAGCAGGTGGTATGGTGGTTAAGGGCGCTGGACTCCCACATGGCTGACATTGGTTCAAGTTCCGGGCCTGGCAGCTTGCTTTCTCACTTTCTATTTCTCTCTCTCCCACTCACTCTGTCTCTCTTTGATCAAATTAAAATAAAAAGTTTAATTAGAAAAATTTTAAAAAATACATTTGGGCCAGCAGGTGACGTGGAGGTTAAGGTAGTTGGAGACCACATAGCCAATTCCACAGAGTCCCAGGCCTGACAACTTGAAAATCATGTCAGGTGCATGTGCATATGTGCCTAAAATCCTGAGAAGATAATGGAGTAGAAAGGATTGCAGCATGGCCATTCCCTCTGGGTGGTGATTTCTCACTTTTCTTCTTTGTCTCTGTCACTCTCTGGTGAGTGCACATGTCCTATAGCAAATCTTTGAAAAATACATTTTATGGGTCAGCCCATAGTGTGGTGGTTGTGGCAGCTGGATCCCACATGGACGACTGCACGGTTCTAGTCACAGATCAAGCAGCTTGAGAAACACATTGGACACATACTCATGTGTGCCCAAAATCCTGAGAGGTGACTGTAGAAGGGATTGTAGTGTGACCATTCCCCATGGGGGGTGCTTTCCCACGTTCTCTCCTTTTTTTCTCTCTCTCCCCCTGGTTGAGTGCACATACCCTCTGGCAAAATTATTAAAAATACATTTTAGTGGGGCTGGCAGGTAGCGTGGTGAAGGGTGCTGGACTCCCACATGGTCGACCATGGTTTGAGTCCCAGACCTGGTAACTTGCTTTCTCACTTTCCTTTTCTCTCTCTCCCTATCTCTCACTCTTTCACCATCTTGCCAAATTAAAATTAAATAAATATATATATAAAGTTAAATAAAATAATTTTTAAAAAAACCTTTTTAGTACAGAAAAATGGATTCCTATTTTATTCAATGGGTTTAATCCACTATTATTATTTTTTTAGAGACTTTTGCTATAGGGTGCATGCACTCGCTGGAGAGACAAAGAGACAGAAAGCGAGAAATAACCCCCTGGGGGGATGGCCATGCTGCAGTTCCTTCTCCTCCATTTTCCTCTCAGGATCTTGAGCATGCACGCACATGCTCCCGCCATGAGTTTTAAGTCACTGAGTCTGTAACTTGAACCATGGCTATGTGGGAGTCCAGTGATATAACCATTATGCCATCTGCTGGTCCCTTAATCCATTATTATTGTTTTTATTTTGCTCCCCAAAGTTGGTTTCTATATCCTTTTGACATGTCTTCATCATTCTTTGAGCATTTCCTTACATTGTGGCAGAAGACATTCATCTTGTACTTTCCTTGTCTCAGCACTGGAATTAGGCATTTCTCCAAGAAGCCCTGGCACTTTTTAGTGGAGAATTACTGTGCCCAAGATCTGGGTCCCATATGTACTTATTGTTACCAGGGTGCCATTTTCTAGGTCTTCTCAGTGGACAGAACTAGGAAATAAATGAGGATATTTGTACATACATATAAAAAATATACACCTATATATGCATATCTACACATACCCAAAAAACCATGAGTTCATACTAGTACCGCTTTCTTTCTTTTTTTTTTTTTTTTTTTTTTTTTAGAGTTTTTTGCTATAGGGCAAGTGTGCTCGCCAGACAGAGACAGAGAGACAGAAAGCGAGAAATCACCCCCCAGGGGGGATGGCCACATCACAATCCCTTCTCCTCCATTCTCCTCTTGGGATCTTGGGCACACACACACACGCACCCGGCGTGAGTTTTAAGTCACCAGATCCAGGACGCGAACCACAGTCGACTACATGGGAGTCCAGCGACATAGCCATTACGCTAACTGTTGGTTCCCCGCTTTCTTTTTTTTTTTTTAATGAATTCTTTTTATCACAAACAAATGTCTAAATTAATTTCTTCTCTCACTTTCTTTAGAAAGAAAATGAAATCAGTAGGCTAAGGAGAATCCAACATCAGTGGGTTTATTCTGGCCTTCTCCCTTTTTCATATTTGTGACTCTTACAAAATTGAGAAGTCTGGTCCCCACTAGCCTCAAATATTCACATCTTTGCTCATTCTCTCTGACCCCAATATTCTAGCCATACAGGCTGTCTCCTTGGCCCTAACTTCACCATCATAAATAAGATGGCTGCCCCTTTGGCCTAAGCCCCAGTGGCCTGAGCCCCAGCGGCCTGAGCCCCAGCAAACACTCTACGAGTCAACTGAGCCCCCCAGCCCCTAAGTTCCAAGCTGAGTGCCCTTACCCTGATCCCAGCCTCTGCCAAAGAAAAGGGAAAGGGACTGCATTAGCATTTAAGCTGACCCTTCATATCACTAACTCACTGCACTTACTATTTACCCTCTTCTGCCTTCACCTTAGTTTACTACCACTTATCTTCAAGAAGTCAGCTCATGTGTCAGTTCCTTGGAGAAATCTTACCTGACTAGTTCAGGTTATCTTCTTATATGCTCTCTTAGCATTCCACTTTATTCTTCATCATTTGTAAATACACATTTGTTTGTGGAATAATTTGGTTAATGGCTGTTCCCCACAGCAGTCTTTGATCTCCATGAGGACAGACAGTATGTTTTTCTCCCCATCGTATTATATATTCCCAATATCGAGCACAGCACCTGGCACTTTGAGTACATTTTTATTGGAAGAATGAATAAAAATTTGTCTTTTTATCCCTGCACATATTGCTATTAATTTCTCAGCTTATACTTACAGTATTTCTTTTTTATTTTCATATATTTTAGTTTTTGCCATGTGCTTGCAAGAGAGAGAAATCACTCCTCGCGGGGATGGCCACACCACCCACAATCCCTCCTCCATTCTCCTCTTAGGATTTTGGCCATGCACACACATGCCCTGGAATGTTAAGCCGCTGGGTCGGGGATTCATACCATGTTGTCAGCCTTGTGAGATCCAGCTGCCCTAACCACCATGCCACCACCTGGCCCCAACTTCCAGTGTTTTATAAATCTAATTGGATGTATCACTATTAAATTACT